GTCGTCCTTGCATCAATGCGTGTGCATGCGAAGAAAAAAAGAAAGAAGAAAACCGAGTTTCAGAAAATGTCGAGCGGGGTGTGCCCCTTTTCTGCAGTTGCCAAGGACAATTTGAAACTTAAGTGGGTGCTACCTGTAGGAGCAATGGTTTTTTATTTAGAGCCTGTCATACTAGCAAATCGGCATTTTTTTGCACATATTACATTTTTGTTATATATCGGACAAGGAAAAAAAAAAAAAAAAAAAAAAAAAAAAAAAAAAAAAATCTCCGGTGCGAGGTCCCGGTAGCAACGAGGCTTGGACTGAGCGACTGAATCTGGACGTGTTTGTGCAGAGGTGCAGAAATGGGTATGCATTTCTGCATCTCCGCTCAAAACACATGCAAATTCAGGGGCTTAGTAATCCAATCCTCTTTGTTAGTGTGACCTCGGCCTCGATCTCTGCACCTCCCTCCTCTACGCATAATGGGACGGACAACGTGCCTTCCACGTCACATGCATTCCTCGTTTTCATTTTATATATATTTATTTCGGAATTATTATTATTATTATTATTATTATTATTATTATTATTATTATTATTATTAACACTGGTAACATCGAGCGAAAGTACAAAGTTTCATTGTATCGAGTCAATCAGAAAAAGGAACAATTGAAAATAAGTTGCAACTGAATTTCAATTGTTCTTAGTTTGATTGATTCAATTCAATACGAACTTTGTATTTTCGCTCAATGTTATTTAGTACAAATTGATAAATATATATATGATGCTAAACACCACCGGTCCGGTGTTAAGGTCGATTATCACTTATAGACAGTGTAATCAGTTAGGGGATTCAGCAGACTGTTGAGGGTTCAGCCTCTACTGATTGATGAGTCAGTTGGTGAAAAACTCCTACGAAACAGTTTGTCATAGCCCCCCCCTCTCCTAGTTTCTTGTCCTCTTCTCCCTCCCTCTCTCTGCCTACGGTTTACCGGGCAGCTCTGTTTGACTATATATATATATATAAAATATAGTCAAACATATATATACATACGATATATATAGTCAAACATATATAAAAAACAGTTTGTCACAGCCCCTCGTTTGTTGTCCTCTTCTCCCTCTCTGCCTACGGTTTACCGGGCAGTTCTATTTGACGATATATAGTCAAACATATATATAGACATATATATAGTCAAACATATATATTGTATAGTCAAACAGAGCTGCCCGGTAAACCGTAGGCAGAGAGAGGGAGGGAGAAGAGGACAAGAAACGAGGAGAGGGGGCTGTGACAAACTGTTTCGTCGGATATTTCTATCTTTTTCACCGTACGGTGAAAAAGATAGAAATCGGGAGCATGATTTCATCAAGGGTCGGGAGCATGATGGCATCCTTCCCTTTTCTTTTGGGTCGGGAGCATGCTGGAATCCTCATTGGATGTCGGACCTTGCCTCCTGCGGGAAGCGGAGAAGCCGAGGGCAAGCATGAAAGGGAAAAAAAAAACAAAAAAAAACAAAACAAAACAAAAAGGAAAAAAAAAGAAACATGGGCCAGCAGTCCCAAGTTGTCACGTCCTTCATAGTACACGACCAGCAAGCTTCACGTCTGCTCCTGGGTTCTGGGACACAGAAACCACCCGGCGATTATTTTCTTATCTGTCCAACACCCTGAGGGTTCCCATTTCTGCACATCTCCGCAGACACGTTCAGGTTCAGGCGTTGAGGATACTCAACGCTGCTATAGTGGGACTTGGCCCCCGATGTCCCTTTTTTTTTGTGGAAATCACAGAAAAATAATCCGATGTCCTTTTTGTTCTTCTGGAAAATGACATACAGATCATCCGAAATTATATCACATATCCTTCGTGCCTTCCCCCCCCCCCCCCCCCCCCCCCCCCCCCCCCCCCCCCCCCCCCCCCCCCCCCCCCCCCCCCCCCCCCCCCCCATCCCCCCAACCGCGCCCCCTTTTTTTTTCCACATATTGAATTATATTATTTTGGCAAAGCTGTAATCTCGACTGATGGTGGTAGGAGGACCTTCTGGAGTGCCAGATGGCATTGCATCGTCATGACGACTCCCTTTTATTGGTGGGGTAGGCTCGTATCACCTCCTGGCGATGGGACCCAGACCAGACGATGTTCTTATGTAAAATAAAAAAAAAAAAATAAAAAAATAAAAAGTCTGGGTAGTATGCCAAGTTGAATGCCCTCCAGATATAGACACACGTTGGCGCTGGGACTGGGTATAGCCGCCGGTATTCCCATCTTTAAGTGGGGTACAGATGTAATTTCCCCCCCCCCCCAAAAAAAAAAAAAGAAAGAAAGAAGGGAAAAAAGCCGAGAAGCGGAATTGTGCTGTGTTCTTGAAATACGTGTGGCTCAGTTCAGTTAGTTAGATTTTTTTTTTTTTTTTTTTTTTTTTTGCACAGTTAGTTAGAATTTAAAGAGAAGCAAGAAGAATGTGAACAGAAGCAGGAAGAAATTCGCATTTGCGGATGACACCTGCCTCCTCTTCCTCTTGGTACAGGACATTTTGTACTTCTTTGCAGCCCTGAAAAAACCCACCAGTAGTACTTCTTAAAGTCGTGCCCGTTAACAAACCACGGGCTTAGGAAAAGGTACGGGGCACTACAGGAGCGCCCAAATTCATGCGACGAGAAACATTCATTGGTTGTGTCAGCTGTGGGAGGCAAGAGGGAAGTGGCAAAACTGTGTTCTGCTGCTGGTCCCCTATGGGCCCTAGGGGGCCACGACCCAGCAATGAACAGGGGCCTCAAAGACAATGCTGGCTTAGCTGAGCCACATAGAATTCCAGAAAAAGGGTGCAGGGCCAGTATACGAAATCCTTTGGTGATGGATGGGCCTGTACTGTGCAAATGATACCTCTGCTGTGGAGATATAGACAGCCCTCCTTTGCTGATTGATGGCCCTGTGCTGTGCAATGATACCCCTCCGCCAGTGCTGTGGTGATATTGACAACCCTCCGCGAGGCGAGGGGGACATTGAAATTGCACATGCAGTAGCCCGACGATATGCAGAGGTATTGCATACAAAGGAGGGCTGTCAATATCTCCACAGCGGAGGTGTCTAAATTTAGGTATGGTACTGCCACTCAAATGAGGTAAGGTACCATACCATATCGTTGGGCCCGTCATTCTGAACAATGCGGTGCTGCTGGCCAAAATGTGGTATGGTACTGCCATGCCACAGCACTGCTTTCGCAAGCTAGTTGCACTGCAGATGATGAAGGGAGCGGTTATGCAGTTAGAGGGGTTTCCGAAGCAGTCGGGTAATTCTGGAGGCCTTTTCACCCAAACTGGCTGGGGATAAGGTTGTGCAGAAAAGAAGAAGTGGTAGGTAGGTTGGGTGGGCCTTAGAGACATCCGTCGAAATTGGAGCGATACAGAAGACAGCACCTTGCCCCGTCCCCTGTGCGCGGACTGCACACAAGTGTGAATGGGTCCTTGTGACGCACGGGGATGGGGGCAGCCAGCGCTCAACCTGTCATCGACGTGGCTGGCCTTGTTCATAAGAGGTGATGAACAGGCGGAGCTTTCCTTCCTTACTTCTTTCCTTCTTTTTTTTCCCCTTTTTTTTCCGCCGTTGCGCTCCGATTCACGGTGTGACAATATATCAGTACTATTCAGTAGTGCCTCTGTGTAGAGGTTGCACCTTGTGGACCAGGTGCAGCGGCTAACTAGACCTGTAGTATGTACATTAGCCAACAGAGTAAAAAAAAACAGACAGAGAATTGTCACAAAAGACAGACAGAGTACAGGAAATAGTTATGCACCTTCTCTCTATAGGCAGGCAAGATAAGGCACAAGCAAGCTGTCTGTCTTTTCTAGCGAGGGAACGGATGTCCATTTCATAAGACCGTCGTTGGAATGTTCTTGGAATTGAGTGACCAAACCGCGGTTTGAGTCGTGGGACATCAAAGACTATTATGCTGTATAGGACTCCTGACTGATGGGAAGACGGTCTGTCTAAACAAGTAGTCACCTGATCAGGTGGAGAATACGTACGGATGCGCTTGTCCGCTAGATTGCGCTAGTGCATTCTACAATTACAACAGAACAGCGATTTAGTTAAAAGTGAAATCTGATTTTGAATCCAGCGGACTAGCTCAGTTGGTAAGGCACGCAAGTAGCATTCAGGAGGTCTTGGGTTCAATCCCCATTGGCCTCATGTACCTTCCTGGGCAAGCTTGGCGCCCGCCACCTAGAGATATGCAGTTGGTCCCCCCGAGTGGCATTGAGCAGAGACTGCTGATGTTCATAGGGGGAGGGGACCGGAGGGGAGGCACAGTCACTGGCCCATCGAAGAAGCTCGGTCCTGATGCTGCCGGCTGACCCCTGGCCGGTATCGCCCACCTGCTGTAGCAGGTATCGCGCCTGCTGGTGGGTGCAGCTCCCGCATGTTCCCTCGTTGGAGGCTTGAGCACGGATGTGGCTGCTATGGGGTTCCCCGTAATACTATAATGACAATAAAAAAGGCCTGAAAGGCCGTCCTGTCCAGATTTGACAGGTAATTGAATTGGTTGGGCTTCAAAGAATTAGCCTTATAAGAAAAAAAGAAAAAAAAAATCTGATTTTGTTTTTGAATGTCAGCGAAATTAGGCCTCGGAGTCCCCCAAAAAACAATATTTTTAGCATGGTT